CTTGCACTGGTAAGAAACAGGAAGTATGTCATGCACAGGGAAGAACAGAAAGTGTGTCTGTCTCATGAGAGTAACAAGAAGTATTTCCAGCACATGGGAGACACGGGAAGTGTGTCATATGCAGAGGAAGAACAGGAAATGTGTTTGTCTCAGGAGAGTAATGAGAAGTGTGTCCTGCACAGGACAGGAACAAAAAGTGTGTGCTGTGCAGAGAAGGAACATGAACTGTGTTCTTTACAGGAAAGAAACATTAAGTGTGTCTTGTACAGGCAAGAAACTGGAAGTATGTCATGCAGAGTGGAGACACAGGAAGTGTGTCATGCCCAGGGGAAGAACAGGAAGTTTGTCTGTCTCAGAAGAGTAACAAGAAGTGTGACTTGCACAGGACAGAAACAGAAAGTGTGTGCCAGGCAGGATAAGAACAGGAAGTGTGTCCTGCAAAAGGGAGATACCTAAAGTGTCCTGCACAGGGGAGATAAGGAAGTGTGTCTTTCACAAAGGAAGAGCAGGAGGTGTGTTTTTCACAGAATAAAAACAGGAAGTGTGTCCTACACGGGAAAACTGCAGGAAAAGTGTCTATCTGAGGAGAGTAATAGAAAGTTTGTCATGCACAGGGGAGATACAGGAAGTGTGTTCTGTACAGGAAAGTAACAGAAAGTGTGTCATGCATGGGGAAACACTGGAAGCGTTTCTTGCACAGGGGAAGAGCATGAAGTGTGGCTCTCTCAGGAATGTAACAGGAAGTGTGTCATGCCCAGGTTAGAAACAGAAAGTGTGTATTGGACAGGGCAGAAGATGTGTCCTGCAAAAGAGACATATAGGACATATTGTCCTATATGTATTGCACAGAGGAGAAACAGCAAGCTGCACAGGGGAGAAACAAGAAGTGTGTACTGGACAGGAAGGAAGAGAAAGTGTGTGTTGCATCAGGGAGAAACAGAAAATGGGTTATGCACAGGGGAGAAACAGAGCATGGGTTCTGCACAGAGGAGGAACAGAAGGTGTTTCTTGCACAGAGGATAAACAGAGGTGTCTTTCATAGGGGAGAAACATGAAGTGTGTCCTGCACAGGAAAGACAAAGAAAGTGTGTCTAAGAAGATTAACAGGAAGTGTGTCCTGCACAAGGCAGAAACGGGAATTGTGTCTCTCTCAGGAGAGTAACAGGAAATATGTCCTTCACAGGTAAGACACAGGAAATGTGTCCTGCAGGGGTGAAACAGGAAGTGTGTCTGTCTCAGGAGAGTAACAAGAAGTCTGAACTGCACAGGGAAAGAACAGAAAGTGTATGCTCCTCAAAGGAGGAACAGATAGTGTGTTCCACAAGGGGAGACACAGGAAGTGTGTCTTCCACAAGGAAGGAAGGAAGGAACAGAAAGTATGTCTCTCAGGAGAATAACAGGAAGTGTGCTGTGCACAGGAAAGACACCAGTAGTGTGTCCTGCAATAGGTAGACATAGGATGTGTGTCCTGTACAGGGGAGGTTCAGGAAGTGTGTCCTGCACAAAGGATAAACAGAAAGTGTTTATCCCCTTCACAGGGGAGAAATAGGAAGTGTGTCCTGCACAGGAGAGACACAAGAAGTGTTTCTAAGGAGAGTAACATGAAGTGTGTCCTGCACAGAGAAGAAACAGGAAGTGTGTCCTTCACAGAAGAGAAATAAAAATGAGTTCTGCACAGAGGAGGAACAGAAAGTGTATCCTTCACAGGGAGACAGAAGTGTGTTCTGTACAGGACGGGAATAAGAACTGTGTCTCTCTCAGGACAGTAACAGGAAGTGCGTTTTTTACAAAAAAGACACAAGAAGTGTAAGACACACTTCTTATACAGGGGAAGAACAGGAAGTGTGCCTATCTCAGGAGAGTTACAATTACAAGAAGTCTGTCCTCACAGAGAAATATCAGAAAGCGTATGTCCCACGGGGGAGGAATAGGAAGTGTATCTTGCACAGGGAAGGAACAGGAAGTGTGTCTTACACAGAGTATAAACCAGGAAATTTCTCCTGCACAAGGAGAGTCACAAGAAGTGCGTCCTGCACTGACAAGAAACAGAAAATGTGTGTTGCATAGGGAAAAAAGAAGAAATGTAGTTTTTTTACAGAAGAGAAACAGAAAGTGTGTTCTGCACAGGGGAGGAACAGGAAGTGTATCTCTCTTAGGAGAATGACAGGAAGTGTGTCCGTCACAGGGGAGACACAGGAAGTGTGTTCTGCACTGGAAAGGAACAGAAAGTTTGTCTTTTACATGGAAGAAACAGGAAGTGTCCCATGTTGGTCTCGAACTTGTGGACTCAATGGATCCTCCTACCCCAGACTCCCAAAGTGCAGTAATTACAGGTGTAAGCCACTGTGCCTGGCCCTCAGATCATTTCTTTTATGGCCAGTTTTTACAAGGAAAGGCGGGTGGAGGGAATTTGAGTCATATTTTTGGTTTTATGCCTGGCTTTGGGGAAAAGGTGGTCCTCTTGGGGAGGAGGAATTCTAGTTTCTATGGTGCCTTGGGGGTGAATGGGACTGAGATACTCAAGATGGTGAGTAGAGTGATGTCTGATCGTCCTCCCTGCTATACTCCCACCGGCGCCATGACACTTTGCAAATGCCTTGGCAACATCAGGTAATTATATGGTCTAAAAAGAGGAGATTGAAATAATCAACCCCTTGTTTAGCATTTCAATAAGAAATAACATAAAAATGGTCAACCAGCAGCCCTCGGGGCTGCTCTGTCTATGGAGTAGCTGTTCTTTTGTTCCTTTACTTTCCTAATAAACTTGCTTTCACTTTACTCTGTAGACTTGCCCTGAATTATTTCTTGTGACAAATCTAAGAATCCTTATGCGGGGTCTGTTTCCTGGACCCCTTTCCTGTAATATTTGTTCAAAATAAATCTCTTCAAATATTTTATAGAGTTTGACTCTTTTCATTGACATTCCTATGAGTTGGGGTGAAAAAATTCATAATGTTTTAGGGAAGAGAAAAATATGTGAAACTAATAGAGTACAGGGATTTGTTTTCTGCCTCTAGTCCTGGGCCTGTGGGCTTTTTAAGTATAGCTACCCCAGGTGCTTGTGTGAGCTCTCTTTCTCTCTCTCCTTTTCTTTCTCTTTGTCACTCTTTCCTTCTCTCTCTCATACACTTTGACCCCCTCTTCCTTTACTCCGCTTCCTTCAACTCTCTTTTCTCTACCTGTCTTCCTGTCTCTCCTTACTTTCTTCTCTCTCTCTTCTCGCTCTGTTTCACATTGCATTTCTCATTATCTCTTCTCTCTCTCCACTCTCTCTCCTTTCTATCTTTCTTACTCTTTCTTTTATCTCTCTCCTCCTTTTCTTCCCCATCTCCTCCTCTTCCTCCTTTCTTCTTTTTTCTTCTCCTTCTCTCTCTTCTCCTCCTCTCTCCCTCCTGTTTTCCCTCTCTTTTCTAACTGTCTCTCATTTTTCTTATTCTCTCTCTCTTTCTGTCTCTCTGTATCTCTCCCTCTTGCCCACCTCTCCTTTTACATTAAAGTCTGCAGAGAGTTCCCATGTCTTCTAGACATTGGGATTTGTAGACATCACCAGGGTAGCTCACATATACCCTAGGATATAATTACCTATTTGTGCTGTTGAAGGAGTGAAGGACGTGCCTTCTCAAAATATGCCGGATTGGTATCCTGCATATTTTGAGTCAAAAACACTGCAGAAATTGTCGTTTCAGAAAGGGCTGGCCAACCTGTCTCTTCCTGCAGGCAGCAAACATAAAGATTCTTCTGGGAGGGGACTCCTCTCCACACCAGCGTTAGAAAATAGCTTTCATCACCAGAGACATCTGTGTGCTACATCTCTGCACACCCTCCTGATCCCCTCAGGCAATCTTTTTGGGAAGTGACTATGATCATTCATGCTTTAAAGCTAGGCTGTAGACTGAATTCATGGTTAGCTTGACCTATTTGTAGCAATGAGCAAAGGCGGTTAGCTTGTGAGGGGAGAAGCAAGATGGAGTGAGCCATGTTACATTTCTCTCATTGTTACATTCATGCATAGGTTCTTGGCCACAGAAACATATGAGAAACACATTCCCTCCCTTTTTTTTTTTTTTTTTTGCAGAAGTTTTGCTCTTGTTCCCCGGGCTCATGCCTGTAACCCCAGCACTTTGGGAGGCCAAGGAGGGCATATCACAGGGGCAGGAGTTCGAGAGCAGCCTGGCCAATATGGTGAAACCCCGTCTTGACTAAAAATACAAAAATTAGCCAGGCGTGGTGGCGGGCACCTGTAATTAAACTACTTGGGAGGCTGAGGTAGGAGAATCACTTGAATTGGGGAGATGGAGGTTGCACTGAGCTGAGATACTCTAGCCCGGGTGACTAGAGTATTTAGGTGACTGGAGTTAGACTCCATCTAAAAAAAAAAGATGTGGGGGACATCGAAAGTCTGCTGGGTTTTTGCAGGCCTCTTAAAAGTGTTAAGTGTGTTGAGAATGTAATTGACAGGTAATGTTTTCATTTTTGAGATGGGCTGGAGTCTCAGTATTGATTTCCTTAGTCATATTTTGACTTAGGAAATATGACTTACAAAACCAATATTGCAATTTTTTTTTGTCACCCAGGCTGTGAGTACAGTGGCACCATCTCGGCTCACTGCAACCTCCGCCTCCCAGGTTCAAGTGATTCTCCTACCTCAGTCTCCCAAGTAGCTGGGACTACAGGTATAAGCCACTACACCCAGCTAATTTGTTGTATTTTTAGTGGAGATGGAATTCACTGTGTTGGCCAGAATGATCTCGATCTCCTGACTTGTGATCCACCTGCCTCGGACAGGCAAAGAGCTGGGATTACAGGGGTGGGCCAATGTGCCTGGCCTGTCCCCCACATCCCAGCATACATACATATTTACATCCCTTCTTCTATGAAGAAACAAATGTGCATGCATACATTATTCTGGAGACATAGTGAACACCCCTGGCAGTTAGATGCTTAGCCTGGTTTGCTAAACTGAAAGCGGTTGTTATAAGCAAGCATGTCCCATGACACACCTCTGTGAAGAAAAGCAGAATGTTTCAGAACTATGGGAGTCCTGTGGAACGTGGTCCTTCCTGAGTCTTTTCCAGGCTTATTCGTAACTAGAGGGAATAGAATATGGTCTCCATCCATGTCCTTGATTTATGATGGAATCCACAGGAATCTGCCACCTTGGGAAAATGGGCAATACTTTAAAAAATGTTGTATATCATAATGAGATATACCACCCAAAATATGACTTTGGAGACCAAGGAATGACACCAAAATATGACTTAGAAGGGTAAAATTGTAATCTTTTAAAAAGCTCATCAGCCATCATTAGTCTTAATGTGTTCCTTTTTTTGAGATGTAGTTGTGCTCTTGTTGCCCAGGCTGGAGTGCAATGGGCAGGACCTCAGCTCACTGCAACCTCTGACTTCTGGATTAAAGCAATACTTCTGCTTCAGCCTCCCAAGTAGCTGGAATTACAGGCATGTGCCACCAAACCCAACTACTTTTTGCATTTTTAGTAGAGCGGAGTTTCACCATGTTAGCCAGGATGGTCTTGATCTCTTGACCTTGTCATCTGCTTGCCTCAGCCTCCCCAATTTTTTTTTTGAGAGGGCCAGTGACATGATTTTGGCTCACTGCACACTACAATCCCCATCTCCTAGACTAAAGCAATTCTCAAGCCCCAGCCTCCCAAGTAGCTGGGAGTACAGGTGTGCACCAGTGCACCTGGTTAGTTTTTGCATTTTCCTTTTAGTAGAGATGGGGTTCCACCATGTTGGCCCGGCTGGTTCTGAACTCCAGGCCTCAAGTGATTCATCTGCCTTGGCCAACAAATGTTCTGGATTATGGGCGTGAGCCACTGCCCCTGGCCAGTGTAGGTTGGTAAGTTTCACCCTCCCTCATTGTAGCATGTGTCAGTACTTTAAATATTGTTCTGTCTGTATGGATATAACATATTTGGTTAAATCCATTCATCGGCACAGGGTTGCAAATGTCTTTATAAACCAGGAAATTCTACAATTATCCATGTGAACCAGAAAGTGACAATGGCCCTGCAAACCAGAAAGTTCTACAATTCTCTGAATGAACAAGGAATCAATGCAATGTCCCTGTGAACAAGGAAGTACTATCATTATCTGTATGAACCAGGAAGTACTACAATGTCCCTATGAAACAGAAAGTGCTACAGTTACCCTATGAATCAGAGGACTGTAAATGTCTTTATGAACCCGGGAGTTCTACAATTATCCACATAAACCATAGAGTGTTACAATGTCCCTACAAACCGAAAAGTTCTAAAATTATCTCAATAAACTCAGAAGTGTTGCAATGTCCCTGTGAACCAGAAAGTCCTACTATTATCCATATGAACCAAGAAGTGCTATGACTATCCCTATGAACCAGCAGGAAGTATTACAATGTCCATAGGAAACACCAAAAAGTATGGCAATGTCCCTGCAAAGCAGGAAGCACTACAATTATCTGTATGAACTGGAAGTGTTGCAATGTTCCTGTGAACTGGGAAGTGCTAATATTATCCAGGTGAACCAGGAAGTGCTACAAGTATCCGTATGAACCAGAAAGTATTACAATGTCCCGATGAAACGGGAAGGGCTACAATTACCCCTAGGAACCAGAGGGTTGCAAATGTCTTTATGAACCAGAAAGTTCTACAATTATCGATATGAACCAGAAAGTGTCACAATATCCCTGCAAACCAGGAAGTCTACAATGATCTAAATGAACTAGGAATTGTTGCAATGTCCCTGTGAACCAGGAGGTACTACCATTATCTGTATGAACCAGAAAGTAGTACAACGTTCATATGAACCAGGAGGTGCTACAATTATTCGTATGAACCAGGAAGTATTACAATGTCCCTAGGAAACAGAAAGTGCTACAATTACCCAATTACCCCTAGGAACCAGAAAGTTGCAAATGTCTTTATGAACCAGAAAGTGTGACAATATCCCTGCAAACCAGGAAGTCTACAATTATCTGAATGAACTAGGAATTGTTGCAATGCCCCTGTGAACCAGGAAGTACTACAATCTCCCTATGAACCAGGAAGTATTACAGTATCCTTAAGAAACAGGAAGTGATACCATATTCCCTGTGAACCAAAAAGTATTGCCATCTCCCTGCAAAGCAGGAAATGCTACAATTATCCATATGCACCGGAAGTGTTGCAATGTCCCTGGGAACCAGAAAGTGCTACTATTATCCATATAAACCAGAAGTTTTACAATGTCCCTATGAAACAGGAAGTACAACAATTATCTGTATGAACCAGGAAGTACTACAATGTCCCTATGAAACAGGAAGTGCTACAATTACCCCTATGAATCAGAGGGTTGCAAATATCTTTATGAACCAGGAAGTTCTATAATTATCCATATGAACCAGAAAATAATATGACAATGTCCCTGCAATTCAAAAAGTCCTACAATTATCCGAATGAAGCAGGAAGTGTTGCAATGTCCCTGTGAACCAGGAAGTGCTACTAGTATATGTATGACCAGGAAGTACTACAATGTCCCCCATGGGAGCTTGAGGCAGGCAGATCATAAAGTCAGGAGTTCAAGACCAGCCTGACCAATATCGAGAAACCCCGTCTCTATTAAAAATACAAAAATTAGCTGGGCGTGCGGGTGCATGCCTGTAATCCCAGCAACTTGGGAGGCTGAGGCAGGAGAATCGCTTGAACCCAGGAGGTGGAGGTTGCAGTGAGCCGAGATGGTACCACTGCACTACAGCCTGGGCAACAAGAGTGAAAGTCCATCTCAAAAAAAATCAAAATCAAACAAGAACAAAAATAAAGAATACTTATACATCCTATGTTCCCACTGTCCAAACTCAATCCACTTACCATGCCACAGAGATGTCTCAGAAATGATAATTCAAAAACAATAACCAGAGGTCAGCAACACAGGAGACTTTGAAAAGTTATTCACTGTTTTCTCCACCAGGAAAGTCAAAGTCGGCCCCTAAGGGAGGGAAATGAGCTGTTAATAGCAAAGCTCTGAGAAATCAGGAAGCAATGACCTAAAACAGGTGGAGAAAACCCCACGGCCCCACATTCCTAAATACCCCAGAAAAAGCGAAGTCCTAGTTTCACATCACTCTTCCCTCAGGTGAAAACAGTAAAACATGAGTATGAGAGGGAATAAGAGAGTAAGAGCAAGAGAGAGGGTAAGAGAGAGACAGAGAAAGAGAGAGGGAGAAGAGAGCGATGGGAGAGAGAGAGAAGAGACAGAGAAGGAAAGAGGTGAGAGAGAGGTGAAAGAGGGGAGACAGAGAGAGAGAAAAGGGGGGTACAGGAAAAAATAATTTACAAATCAATGGTGCACCAGTCCCAGGCTGGAATGCCAGCTCTACCTGCTGGCAAGTGTCTCCTGCCGAACCCTTACCCACCTCTCCTCCTATGTTCCCAACAGCTGTTGTGAGGGAGACCCTAAGATGTGCAAACAGATTACTGTGAGCAGATGTGGGCTAGAGGGTGTCTAAGACGTGGCTTTCCCAGCCCACATGTGCCCCACACACTGACCTGACGATTCACCATGATGCCAGAGGTGCCTTCTGGTTTCAAGCTTTTCAAACCCCAGCTACATTTGAGGCACTTTTCAATTGGGAAGGCCGAACAAGGAGGCTTCAATGAAAGAAATCTGAGGGACGCCATAGAAACCAGCACTCCTGCAAACCGTCTCTCCTGATGCAAGCATGGCGGTGCCTTTCATGCTGTCTGCCTGTTTCGATGCCTCTCTTCTCCAGGAACTGGAATGCTTCAGCCACCAGAACTCCCTTGCACATACTTCCCTGACCACAAGAACACAGTAGGTGCAAAGGAGGGAAGGAATGCGTGAAGGATGAAGAAATGCATTAGCAGAAAGACGAGGGAAAACCCCTTTCATCAGGTGCCTTGGGAGCAAATGCAGCTGATCAAACCCTACAGACATGCTGTCTGCAGTGGCGGCCTGCTGGCAAGAAGGAAAAACACTTAGGAAGAAAAGAGGAAAACACTCAGTAGTGAGATTGCTGGATCAAATGGGAGTTCTACTATTAGTTCTGTCTTTTTTTTTTTTTTTTTTTGACAGAGTCTTGCTCTGTTGCCAGGCTGCCCTGCAGTGGTGTGATCTAGGCTCACTGCAACCTCCACCTCTCGGATTCAAACTACTCTCCTGCCTCCACCTTCTGAGTAGCTGGGATTACATGCATGCACCACCATGCCCATCTAATTTCTGTACTTTTAGTGGAGACAAGGTTTCACCATGTTGGCCAGGCTGGTCTCGATATCCTGACCTCAAGTGATCCACCTGGTTTGGCCTCCTAATGTGCTGGGATTACAGATACAAGTCACAGCATCTGGACTGATCACAACCATATTTAACAAAGAGGAGACCCCTCCCTCCCTGAGGGCATCAGATCAGGCCTTTGTGAGAAGGGGACAGTGCAGTTTAGCACCAGGGGAAGAAAGGGTGTGTTTTAGTCTGTTTTGCGTGGCTATCACAGAATAGAACACACTGAGTCACATTAAAAATAGAGGTTGATGGCTGGATGTGGTGGCTTAGGCTTGTAATCCCAGCATGTCGGGAGACCGAGGTGGGTGGATCACAAGGTCATGAGTTCAAGACCAGCCTGGCCAAGATGGTGAAACCTGAACTCTACTAAAACACACACAAAAAAATTAGCTTGGCGTGGTGGCAAGCACTTGTAATTTCAGCTACTCAGGAGGCTGAGGCAGAGATTTGCTTGAACCCAGGAGGAGGAGGTTGCAGTGAGCCAACATCACCAGACTCTGTCTCTAAATAAATAAATAAAAATCAAAAGAGGGTACTTTTACTTTGCACTTGTGGTGGCTGGGAAGCCCAAGATGCCCAGCTGATCTGGTGAGGGCCTCAGTGTAGTTCATATCATGGATGGAGATAAAGTGCAAGACAAGAGAAGGTATATGCCCAAGAGAAATAAGGAGGCCACAATCCCACAGTAGCTAACCCCTTCCTGCAAGAGACATGAATTCCACTTGATAACCTCATGACTTCTTGAATGTGCCACCTGCACAGGCCATTGCACAATGAGTAGAAAAGCTTTTCAGACCTTCTCTCCTTTTCCAAGGCCAGGTAAAGTGGCTCACGCCTGTAATGTCTTTGGGAGGTCAAGGCCAGAGAATTGCTTTGGGGCCAGGAGTTCAAGACCTGCCTGGGAAACTAACCAAGGCCTCATCTTTACCAAAAAAAAAAAAAAAAAAATTTTATTTTTTTTTTAGATGGAGTCTAGCTTTGCCACCCAGGCTGGAGTGCAGTGGCACGATCTTGGCTCACTGCAAACTCCACCTCCTGCATTCAAGCAATTCTCCTGCCTCAGCCTTCTGAGTAGCTGGATTACAGGCGTGCAGCACTATGTCTGGCTAATTTTTGTATTTTTAGTAGAGACAGGGTTTCAGCAGTTAACCAGGCTAGTCTCAAACTCCTGACCTCAGGTGATCCGCCTGCCTCAGCCTCCCAAAGTGCTTGGATTATAGACATGAGCTACTGTGCCTGGTCCCCCCAAAATGTTTTCTTAATTAGCCAGGCATGCTGACTGCTTGAACCTGGGAGGTGGGGACTACAGAGATGTAATTGCACCAGTGCACTCCAGCCTGGGCGACTCAGACCTCAAAACAAAACAAAACCTCAAAACAAAACAAAATAAAAGCATGAACAAGAATGCTGACTCAGAGCACTGCCAAAGACAGGTTTTAGCTGCAAGACAGGTCATGGGAGGGAGAAAGGAAAAGGCTGGCCTGGCAAACCTGGGCTTGCTACATAGATGTAACATCACAGGTAGCAGGCCTCAGAGAGAAGAGATGGTTCCTGTTTCCTTTTAGAAGTTTTAAGGTGTCAAACATTCACTTCGTCTCTCTAGAGCCGTGCAAGAGAAGGGCTGGCTGGCTGCATTGCCACAGACTCCACAGAGCTGCTGATGCAAGATTCCCCCACAAAGATGGAGTTTATTTTTCTTCTTTGTTTTTCTTTACATTTTGTTTTAAGTTCAAGGGCACACATGCAGAATGTGCAGGTTTGCTCCATAGGTAACATGTGCCATGGTGTTTGCTGCACAGATCAACCCGTGGCCTACACATTAAGCCAGCATCCATTAGCTGTTTCCTTCCTGAGGCTCTCCCTCCCCCTTCCCTCAACCTTCTGACAGACCCAGTGAATATTGTTCCCCTCCCTGTGTCCATGTGTTATTCTCCTTCAGTTACCACTTATAAGTGAGAACATGGGGTGGTTGATTTTTGTTCCTGCATTGGTTTCCTGAGGATAACAGGTTCCGATTCCATCCATCTTCCTGCAAAGGACAGGAACGCATCCTTTTTATGGCTGTATAGTATTCCATGGTGTCTATGTACCCCATTGTCTTTATCCAGTCTCTTGTTGATGGGCATTTGGGGTTGATTCTATGTCTTTGCTCTTGGGAATCGTGCAGCAAAGAGCATACACGTACATGTATCTTTATAACAGAATGATTTTTCCTTCAGGTATATGCCCTGTAATGGGATTGCTGGGTCAAACAGTAATTCTGCCTTGAGGTCGCTGAGTAATCATCATGCTGTCTTCCAGGATGGATGAACCAATTTACACTCCCGCCGACAAGGAAAATTGTTCCTTTTTCTCTACAACCTCAGCAGCATCTGTTGTTGTTTTTTTTGACTTTTAATAATCTGAGATGGTGTCTCACGGTGGCTTTGGTTTGCATTTCTCTAATGATCAGCAGTGTTGAGCTTTTATTCATACGTTCCTTGGCCACATGAATGTCTTCTTTCGAGAAGTGTAAAGATAGCATTTCAGGGCTACTCACCAATATATGAAAGAAATATATTTGGGGACAAAGTATTTTGATTTGCTTTCATATATTTCTTTTCTTTTCTTTTCCTTTGAGATAGAGTCTTGCTCTGTTGCCCAGGCTGAAGTGGAGTAGTGCAATTTCGGCTCACTGCAACATCTACCTCCCAGGTTAAAGTGATCCTCCCGCCTCAGCCTCCAGGGAGCTGCCACCACATCCAGCGAATTTTTTTTTTAAATATATTTTAATAGATATGTGATTTTGCCGTGTTGGTCAGGCCGGTCTTGAACTTCTCACCTTAGCTTAAGTTACTCCATATTGTTTTATTCTGCTTACTGCGTGTGTGTCAAGGCACAGAGTTTTCCATTGCGGGCATGTCTGGGCAAGCCACCTGTGTGGCCTTTCTTATCTGTGTAGCTGTGGGCATGTCTTGGGCAACCACCCTGTGCAAGTTCCCTTACCTGTGCCTGCAGATTGTTCTTTCATTTGAAGGGATTCAACTGCGGATCCACGCTCACTGCCTGCCTGACTCGTTTCTTCCTTCCCACTCTCTCACTTTGGCTAGAGGGAGTCCCATAAAGGGACAGGATGGATGGGGAGCAGGCTGTCAGGCCATCCTGGCAATGCTATGGAATAAAATTCAACTTCGGTGGTCATTGATGTTGTGATTGGCAAATCTTGGCCAGACGGAGAAGAATGCCATCTGAATAGCTTAATAAAAATAATAAAATTCAACCCTCTGAATGGACCCTCTCCTCAGCCAAAGGCATTCCGAAGTAAACCTGAAAAGCTAGTTCACACGATAATTGGAAGTGGGGGTTGGACATGCATCATTAGGTTCTCCTTCCTTTGGAATTCAGGCATTCACATTACCTTCCTTTGGAATTCAGGCATGGCTGACCAGCATTCACATTAAAACAGAGACCTTCAGACTGATGAAACAGACTCTTCGTAGCCATAACCAACAGGACAGATAGCAGGTCCTGAGAGAAATCCAAGTATTTTACCCCAAAACATATTTATGCGACATATTTTTGGAATGGTCCTGCAAAGCTGTCTTTTGTGGGGAGAAAAAAATCTGCATTCTGTAGAGAATCTCACTTTCCAGTCCTTTTATCAGATTCAGAAGATAATTAACTAAGAGTCTGGCACCTTTTAAAATCTGATTTACAAACTATACTCTCTGACGCTTTCTACCTGGAGGCTTCATCTGCATAACCGGAACTTTGGTGGCAGGAACAGTGATTGACAGGTGCTGAGCTTCCACATCGCCTTGCCCCAGAGAAACGACTGGAGATCAAGTCCTGGTGTGGTGCTGGAGAACAGTCACAGTTCTCCAATGCGGCTGCGGCTGCCTTGAAGGGGGCACTTTCAGCAGCAGCATGGAGTAGAAACACAGCAAGAAAATCTGTCACTGCACTCCAGCCCACAAAAAGGAGTTATTGTCACAAAATTAAGTCCAGCCTGGAGATGGCAGGGGCTAAGAATTTATGAATCCATGACAACCGTTTGTTTCTACCCCTCGCCTGCCCTCTGCACTCAAGGCATCTTCTAATCACCCATCAAAATCACCTTAGCAGCTTCCTTCTCAGCCCTTCTCTCTACTCAAAGGTGGCTTTTGTTTTCTGCACAGCTGAATCTTCTCTTCAGGCAGGAGGCTGAGCAAGATGTATCCGAATGTCCATCTTGAATGCTGCTATTATACATACCCTAGCAGCCTTGGGGAACCGTGTGGCTTTCACTTTAGAGAGCTCCGAACGCAGCCCTACAACAGAGACCCTTTTTGCCATTCCTTGGGACAGAGTTTGCCAGTACACCTCATGAAAACAACTCTTAAGGTCCCTCCCCTGATGATTTTCGTCTCTAAGTCCAGAGTGGGAGAAAACAGGATGGAAGCAGCTCTGGGATTTACTGAATCTCTCCTCTGAATAAAAGAGTAATCTGTTCTGTGTGTGCCAGGTGCGGTGGCTCCTGCCTATAATCCCAGCACTTTGAGAGGCCAATGGAGGAGGACTGCTTGAGCCTACAAGCTGGGCAGCATAGTAAGACCCTGTTTCTACAAAGTTAAAAAAAATTTTTTTGAAAAGAAATACATAAAATGACTCAGGAATGATCCAGTCTGGTCTGGTACAAGGAGGTGCCTTAATGATTTAACGATAAAAAAATAGAACCAGCATCTTTATTATGGGATGACGTACAATCTACCTTCTCATATCTAGGCATCTGAAGTCAACCGGTCTATCTGATGTCCACAGAACCAAGTGCAGAGAGATGGGGCTCGCCAGTCCTCAAGGGGCAGGCCTTTCCGGCCTTTCCTGCCTGCTGCCTGCTGCCTGCAGGAGGATTGACCTGGGTTCCTATTTTGTTTCTTGGTGGTTTTGGAGACAGGATCTCACTCTGTCACCCAGGCTGGAGTGCAGTGGTGCCTCCTTGACCTCCTGGGCTCAGGACCTTCCCACCTCACCTTCCCTAGTAGCTGGGACCACAGGCACATGCCACAACTCCCAGCTAATTTTTATTTTTATTTTTCCTAGAGATGTGGTCTGCCTATGTTGTCCAGGACGGTCTCAAACTCCTGGCCTCAAGCGATCCTGCTGCCTCAGCTTCCCACAGTGCTGGGGTTACAGGCCCGAGCCACCAAGCCAGGCCATCCCTGCGTCTGTGCTGGGCACGGAAATTAAACCGATGGCCTGAACTCCAAGAACCGGAAGACCGCCTCTTCCCAGAGTTTTAGGGCCATTTTAGGAGAACAGACTTCTTACCATCGGCCTTCCACGCAGTGAGAATCTCAGACAGTTCAATGCTATTCCCAAGAAACGAGCCCAGTGAAACTTCCAGGACTACATCTTACAAGTGGAACTGGTGAAATCCCAACGCCACCCTCACTTGCTACCAATCACCCCCTCCCAGCAGCTGAAGCCCACCGGTATTTCCAGCAGCGTCGGATGGACCAGTCCCTCCAGACCCACAGAGACCTGGGTGAGTCAATGAGGGGAGACTCGGATTTGGGGCAGTCCTGGGTCAAACTGGGTTTCTCCGCAGCGCAGACCAATCTCACCCAAGCCGGCAGGAACAGGCAGGCCGAACTGAAGGAGCTTGAGCTACTACTCACCCGACATGGTCCTCCGGGCCGCGTGCAGTGGGCGCCGGGGTGCAGTGGGTAGACTTCCCCACCACGGAACCCTCAGAGCAGAGGCGCCGTCTCCAGGAACCGGCGTGGACTTCCAGGCCTGCGGGCGACCGCGTGGCGGTCTCGACACCCTGAGCCTCAGGCGCCGCCAGCGTCACCCCCGGCCAGCTACGCACCCGGTGTCACTGCGCCCCACGGGACCCCGGCCCTCCCCGCACTGCCTCCGTGGCGCTCAAGGTCAGCCTCCTGCCCTCTGGCCAGGGTCCCCTTGATCCCCTGTCCTCCCCGCTGTCACCTGCGACCCCGCTGCGTTTAATTACTCAAGTGCCCAGCAACGACATCGCCCCCGGAACCCCGAGCGACCTCTGCGGTATGAGCAGCCGCCCCGCCGCCCCGCGCACCTGCTTGGAGTTCTGGGCATCTTCTTTCCCCACCCCAGCTGGCGCTCCCCGGTTACCCCGCCCCGTCCACTCCCTGGCCCCACCCCTGAGCTCCCGGACCCCGGGATCTGCACCTCCTCCGAGCTTGGTTGCGCTGCTTCTGCCCGCGCCCACCGGCCAGACGCCCCTTCCCCCGTCACTCCAGGCCCCCCCGGCCCACCCCTGCGCCCCTCGCCCTCCTCCCCGAGAGCCCCCGAATCCGTTCCACGCCCTGCACGTCTCCCTTCCCCCGCGCAACCACAGCCTCTGCCTTTGACCGCGCTCCCAAGCCCCAGCCTCCCAGCCTGCGCCCCCGCCTCCGTCTGTCCTCAGTCCTGGGGCAGCCCCGGTGTCCCCGCGACCCGCAGCGCCTGGACCTGTACTCCCCAGCACTCGGCGCCCCCATTCGGCGGACCCACCCCCAAGAGCTCCAAAACCCTCCCCTCCTTCGCGCTTGAGAGACCTCTGACCTCCAGCGCCCTACGCCCCTCACCCCTCCTCTACACTCCAAGCCGTCGCCCTTCCCCCAGCACCCAGCCTCGGCCTCGCCACCCCGCTGTACGCCAACCCCCCCCACCCCAGACCTCTAGGTGTTGAGGCAGCCTCTGCGCACCCCGGCCGTCCCCTGCACCCAGGCTTCCTCCGCTACCCACGGCCCCCTGCACCCCCCGGCAGCCCACGGCACCTCTTCCGCGCTCCCGCAGCCTCTGCCCTGGGCCGGCGCTACAGGCTCCGAGGGCATCGATTGGCTTCTGTCCGGAAGCCCGGCCCCACCTCCGCCCACCCCCGCGGGCGCGGGTCGTCTCCGCCCGGCTGCAGCCCCCGCCCGCAAACAAGCCCGCGCGCCGCCTGGTGCCCAGCCCGGGCTGCCGGGGAGAGACACCCGGGAACGGCCGGGGGCTGCGCCCCGTGCCGCGCCCCGCCCCTCGCCCGCCGCGGCCCCCAATGCAGCCCGCGGTTTCCCGGTTTGAACATTTAACCTTCCATCAGCCGGCCCCGAAGTAAATGTTTGCGATGGCTTAAGGCCCTGGGCCCAAGGCCAGCGCGCAGCCCGGGTGGAGGCTCCTCTGGTAGCGTCCGGGAGGGAGAAGGCAGGGCTCGTACCCGATCTCACTGAATGCATGAAAAACGCACGTGTGCATACTTGCACGCCTGAATGAATGAATGAGTGCATGAAAGAATAACTGAGTGTTCAGGCCTCGGCTGTTGCATGCATAGCGAGCGAGTGACTGGCTGTCTGCACGCGGTGTCTTTCCATGGATGAGTGGAGGACGCGTGTGTGTGAATGCATGTGAGGCGTGAATGGACAACTACACGTGAATGAGCGAGCGAGGAAATGGATGAACCATCAGTGTCTGCGCCAGGGAGGGAATGAATGCATTCACAGGTGAATGCGGGAGTTGACGGCATGAATGAGCCAATGCACGTAAGAATGAATTCAAACATATATGCATGAATGGAGGAGTGACTGTGCCGAAAACCAGGTGCATGCATACATGCATGAATGAAGGCACGAATCTATGAATGAGTGAATGAATGAGTTGAATGCACGAGTGATTGAACAAGTGATTTCATGCGTAACTGACAGTGCATGAATGACTGAATGAATTTATGACGCATGAGTGACTGCATGAGTGAGTGAACAAGGGAATTCATCCTGTATGAGTGCTGGAACGAGTGAAAGGTGAGTTCATGCACACAAGAGCGAGGGCATGAGTGAATGGATGAGTGAGTGAACAAATGAATTCACGCCTGCATGAGCCAAGTGTATAAGTGAGTGAATTAATGCATGACTAAGTGCATGGGTGACTTCAGTAAATTCACGCATGTACAAGTGCATGTATGAGCGAGTGAACAAGGGAATTCATGCGTGCCTGCGTGAGTGAGTGAATGCATTCATGCATGCAGGATTGAATGAGCACGTGAAGGCATGCATTTATAAAACAATGAATGTGTGTGAGTGCATGAACAGGATACATGACAAGTGAATACGTGGATGAATGAGTGAGTGAATGAATATGTATGAGTACCTGAGTGAGCTCAACCAACTAGCATGTGTTAATGCATACACACATGACTGAATGAGTGAAGATTGCATACATGTCATGAATTAATGTATTATGCATCAGTGAATAAATAAATTGAATGCATGGACAAGTTAATGGTGGACGAATGAATGAATAAGTAAAAGTGTGAATGCATGCATCCGAGCATCAGTGAATTAAGTGAATGAATACGTGAATGTGTGAATGCAGGCCCGTATGGGTTGAATGAGTGAATGAATGTGTGAATGCATGCCTGTATGGGTTGAATGAGTGAATGAATGCGTGAATGCATGCCTGCATGAGTTGAATGAGTGAACGAATGTGGGAATGCATGCATGTATGAGTGCATGAATTCAGTGAGTGAATGAATGTGTGAATGCATGCCTGTATGAGTTGAACGAGTGAATGAATGCATGAGTGCATGCCTGTATGAGTTGAATGAGTGAATGAATGCGTGAGTGCATGCCTCTATGGGTTGAATGAGTGAATGAATGTGTGAGTGCATGCCTGTATGAGTCCTGTATGAGTCTGTATGAGTTGAATGAGTGAATGAAGGTGTGAATGCATGCCTGTATGAGTTGAATGAGTGAATGAATGCGTGAGTGCATGCCTGTATGGGTTGAATGAGTGAATGAATGTGTGAGTGCATGCCTGTATGAGTTAAATGAGTGAATGAATGTGTGAATGCATGCCTGTATGAGTTGAAGGAGTGAATGAATGTGTCAATGCATGCCTGTATGGGTTGAATGAGTGAATGAATGTGTGAGTGCATGTCTGTATTAGTTGAATGAGTGAATGAATGCGTGAGTGCATGCCTGTATGGGTTGAATGAGTAAATGAATGTGTGAATGCATGCCTGTATGAGTTAAATGAGTGAATGAATGTGTGAGTGCATGCCTGTATGAGTTGAAGGAGTGAATGAATGTGTCAATGCATGCCTGTATGGGTTGAATGAGTGAATGAATGTGTGAGTGCATGCCTGTATGAGTTGAATGAGTGAATGAAGGTGTGAATGCATGCCTGTATGAGTTGAATGAATGAGTGAATGAATGTGTGAATGTATGTCTGTATGAGTGCATGAGTTGAATGAGTGAACTTACTTGGAGAAGAAGAGCCTTCGTGTGACCATCAGAAAGAGACAGCAAAGGAAACCAGATTCTTCCCCAAACTGTCAATGGCGATCAATGCAAGCTACAGCCAGGCCTTCCCGATTTAGATTAATACCTAGGATGATCCATGGTCTGTGGGTACCAGGCACTGTGCTGAGGGCTGCCCCTGCATCAGCTCAGCCTTGGGGACAGGTATTGGTGGTGTTTTTACCTCCACTTCATAGATGGGCCGAGAGCTGTTAATAAACAGTGGAGGCTATCTCTGACCTCCCACAGGCTACGTGCAAGAATTTAACTCATGACTACTGGGGCTTTGTAAGATATCTGCAGGACATAGTAAGCCTCAGGAAGGCACATTCATTGATTTTTTTACATGTTATGCAAAGGAAAAAAACAACATGATTTTTTTCTGCATTTGTATTAAACAGGTTTTATATGTCAAATTTTATTGATTGATATACTTTATTTTATTTGTATAAATTTATGGGGTACAAGTGCAATTTTGTTACATGGATATACTGAGTTGTGGTGAAGTCTGGGCTTTCAGCATCACCATCCCCTGAATAGTGTACATGGAACCTATTAAGTCACTGCTCATTCCCCACCATCCTCCCAGTCTCTCACCCTTCTGAATCTCCAAGGTCTATTAGTCCACTCTCTGTGTCCATGTGGACATATTATTCCACTCCCACTTATGAGTGAAAACATGTGGACTGCTGTGCTCTTGCGCTGGGTAAGGGAACCATCCTATGGGAAAGGGTCTTACCAGTGTTCTAACAAGCGATGCGCTGACAAAGGACTCAGACAGCTCCTGCCTGCTGAACTGTTGAGAATGACGTGCTTGTCAACCTGATCCCTTCCCCACGGTTAGATGGAAGTTACTACTGGAGTTTTTCACCAAGGCATTTGTGGCATCGGGGCTGGACTCTCTAGGATGTTGAGCAGCCTCCCTGGGCTCCATTTGCCAGATGCATCAGCACACTTTCCCAGTAGTGACAGTTAAAACTGACCTCAAACACGGCAAAGTGTTCCCTGGTGGGGGCAAGGGCAGAATTATTCTTATGCTGTGAGCCACTGTTTAGATAGATGATAAGTAAATGGATAGATGATGGATAGAGAAATAGGTCAGTAGATGCATGATAGATGATACACAGATAGATGATAGACAGATGAGATAGATAGGCTGGACAGATAGATGATAGATAGAATGAAAAGAGAGATAGGTGATAAATAGGTGATTGATATATAGATAATTGATAGATACATAGATGGAGATAGAGATAGATGATAGATAGGATGGAGAGGTAGATAGGTGATAAATAGGTGATTGATAGATATATAGATAATTGATAGATACATAGATGGAGATAGAGATAGATGATAGATAGGATGGAGAGATGGATAGGTGATAAATAGGTGATTGATAGGTACATAGATAGTTGATAGATACATAGATGGGGATAGAGATAGATGATAGATAGGATGGAGAGATAGATAGGTGATAGATAAATAGATGACAGATATATAGATAATAGTAGTACGAGATGGAGATAGATAAAATAAGTAGATCGCTGATAGGAAGATAGATAACAGATAAACATGATAGGTTGATAGAGATAGATACATACATGAGACATAGATGGAGATGATAGACAGATGATAGATTGATGGAGGTGATAGATAAATAGACTATAGCTCTGTCTCTGTGGTGGACCCATCCTGTGCACTGTAGGATGTGGAGCAGCGTCCCTGGGCTCCACCCACCAGATGCCAGGAGCTCCCACCCCCTCCCAGTTGTCACAACTAGGAAGACTTCCAGACTTTGCCCAATGACCCCTAAGGGTGAAATTATCCCCTTTGAGAAACCCTGCTGAGTAACAAGAGAGCAGCTTCTGGGTGGGAGCAACTTGGGACTGCAGCAAGCAGAGCCCCTTCTATGCCCTGAGGAAAGACACGAGAATGCTTCCCCTTCCTCAACCTTCCCACGGCATCTTCACCTTGTGTTTCCAAGTATTCCCAGAGAAGAGTGGCAGGTGAAACTCAGTGAACACCACCCCAGGCCGGCCTCCTCAAGATAGATTCTCTCTGCTGTCAAGCAGCTCATTGGCAGGGTAGACAGGCAGGGGGCTGCCTCCTGCCTCCCTCTAAGCAGCTGTTATCTCCAATGCCTGTGAACACACTTTTCTCCCCATGAGGAGCAGAAGCCTCTGAGCTCCTTAACACACATCATGCACCCCGGACATCTTATCCAGAGCAAAAGTTGGGCAACACCCAGTTTCACCTTGGAGTCCCCATCCTGATGGAATTGAGGTCTTTGCTGTGGCATCATCCTGTGCACCGCAGGCTGCTGAGCAGCATCCCTGGGCCTCACCCACCTGACACCTGGAGCACCTCCACACAGTGGCGATGTCCAAAAGCGGCAGCAGACATCACCGAGTAGTGTCTCCCCACAGAGCAAAAACGTGGGCTTCTATTTCCTTGTGACGTTTCTAATGCACACCCTAAATTAACAAAGCAAACTAAACAGAGCTTTCCTGTGCTTTAGCAAGGGTGTGTAAAACTTCAAAGCACACTAGTGGTTTCTTTAGCCTGTGGCCGGCTTTCTCAGACTCTTCACTGTGGATATATGGGGCTAGAGGTCCTGTGCACTGTACATAGTTTAGCAGACCCCTGGGCTCCACTCTCTGCATGCAGTAGCACAGCCCAGCTAACAAGTGTTCTCTGGCGTCAAAATCACCCAGGTGACAACCACTGCCAAGATTCGATTTAGAGAGATGGATGATAGATAATAGAAAATAGATTGTAGATAATCAATAGCTATAGATAAATCGATCATAAGTAGATGGTAGAAAAACTATGATAAACATAGATGGATGACAGGTAGACAGATGACAGATA